TCGTTTATTTTGTAAGATTCTGATGTTTGGTTTGCAAGTAATAAAATATTATAGTAATCTTTATTGCAAATAGAGATTACAGTTGATAATGTGAGGGGTAATCTTATTACCTTGCTGGGGGTGTTATTAAAACATTACCGGAGTAATATGATTTTTCTATCCATTTTGCCCTTAATTAAAAACCATTTTGGACACCTTAACCACAAAAAGTTTAAAAGTTAACAAAATACCCCTAGCCACCCAAGACCACTGTTGACAGTCTGCGTCAGTCGCCGTAATGGTGCACAACAGGAGAGATTTGGTCGGTTGTGTGTCGTTAAGGCCTTTTCTAGCCATGGATCTGCTGAAAACGACCAGATTTGGCGTTTCTATGGTTGTTTTACGTGGCCATGAAATGACCACATGTATGACCTTTTCACAGTCATATTTGTGGCCATTTCACGGCCACATCTTTGGCCGTGAAATGGCCATAGATCTAGTTGTTTTTCAACCATGGATTTGTGATCTATGGCCATTTTCGGCTTTGCCAGCACACGATCGACCATACACAGTCAGTCGTGCACCATTTCGTTGTCTGTCGACGGCAGTCGATAGTGGTGGCTTTCTGTTGTTTTAGCAAAATTTTAAATGTAGGGGATTAAAAGAATGATTTAAAAAATAATAATAAAAAATACTATTATATTAATGTTTAAAAAGGAGGGCAATTTAATAATCTATATAACATACCCACCTATTTATCCTCCCAACCAAACATATTATTCACCAATTTATTCGAACTAACCAAACACATTTTCTAAACATTGCTAGTAATCTTTATGGTGATCTTTTTTTCCGTTAATATAATATTGTTTCTGGTATCTGTGCTATTGATAAATGTTGCTGGAGCATTCACTGACTGTGTATTAATTTGAGCAAGTGCTTATTCTAGAACCATGTGTAAATGTACTCTGGAGGTATAGAATATAAGGATGCACCAGTCAAGCTTGGACCAAGATCACTAAGATACTTTGGTTTATGGGGAAATATTAAGTACAAGGATGGTTAAGCAAGGTAGTTTGACAAGTGTCTAGGCACTTTAGTTTAAGGGGGAATATTAGGTATAAGAGTTAGTAAGGTTGTTTTTGTAAAGTTTGTAAGTAGTGCTTACGGTGTGTTTTGCAAAGTTTGCAAGTAGTGCTTAAACGCAGCGTTTTGTAATATGCTTCAATCTCCATATAAGAGACTGCTGTTTCAGCTTTTATTATTAACGAAGATTCAGTTAATAGAATTCCACTCATTTTCTTCAGCTCGTTTTCCAGCTCTAAACTCTTCTTTCAATATTTTATTGTTTTTTATTCTTCTTTTCAATTCCGCTCAAGAATCTTCACCCTATAATAAAATATTATATGATCTAAACGCTCTCCTCAGATAATTAATAGAAAAAAAAATGTAAGTTATGGGTTATCTTTAATAAGTATATATATTCAGAAGCAGTATCTACTCAGTTTGATTTGGCTTTAAAAGCGATATTGGAGTACAGTTGTGTAATTTGATGGTGCAGAGAGATTATCGCTCATAATAAGAAAAGTCTCATATTACTATTGGAAAAAAAAAGTCTTGACCAAAATCTTGGATTGTTTAGACAATAAGAACGTTTATGTTTATGAGAAATCTAAAATAAATTTTTGACAATACAAAGTAAATTCTAAAGGCTGAATGATTTGAAACAGAACCAAAAAATACAACAGTATCTACTCGATTCAAACCAAACTGTTAGCTGATCAAGATAACATAATATCTAAGTTGTTACATGAGAAAAATATTATTATCTTCTAAACAATTTATATATGCAAATTATTTTGTGAAAATCTTCTCATTGGAAAACAAATAATTTAACATACATATTCAAAAGCTTCAAACCTAACATGATTATTATATAAATTGTTGCCATGTTATATGTTTCAAAATAATATTCCAACAAGGTTGGACTTTAGATAATATAATAATATACTCTTCTCATGCTTAGATTTTGATATGCTTTTATCTTTATAAGTCCTTTAGCTTTCAACATTATTAATCTAACATTATTAATCTATTGGTATTATTATTTGATATTTCAACTTGAATATTCAAAAAAAAATTCCTCGATTGAATCATTAACTTTTAATAAGCAAAACATATATATATATATATATATATATATATATATGAAGATAAAGATCAGATCAATTGACATATGGTGTCAAACTTTGAAATCTTGGAGGAAGTAGTTGTTTATTAAGACTATACAATTGAAACTTTTAGGTCAAAAAGTTTAGCCTGTGAATTATCTGAATTTTCTTGACCTAAATTTTATTTATTTATTTATTATTATTATTATTTTTTTTTTTGGGTCCAAATTAACATATATATCATGTTAATTTATTGCAATGTCTCAACAACTCTTTATTTTCTCTTTGTTTTACTGTCTTTGAGGTGTCTGAATCTTCAACTAATCACCGATGTCACATTTCACATTTCTAACGAATGAAGATTTGGTCAGTTTATAAGCTTAGAGTCCATATAACTAAGTAAACGTGTTTTGGGTAAAACACACCTACGTAAAACTCAAAAGCAAATTCGTACAAATTGAGTGTAAAATAAAAAAATATCTACTCGGTTGGATTACAACTTTTATAATCATGATGTTGTCTAATTATATACCTCTACTTTCTCCACTCTTTTATTTAAAAAAAAAAAAGTCTCACCAACCTTTTTGGAGAAGCACTTCACATTATTTTTGTCAAACCATAAATAATATATAAAAGTGAAGTTTATAAGATGGTAGATTAAGAACATTTAGGTTATCTTTCTTTCTTTGTTCTGAAAAAAAAAAAAAAAAAATCTATAAATTTACACAAAACTTTTTTTAATTTGAAAGAAATGTGATTCCGAAAGTCGATTTCACTTTTAGAATTACCAAAATATTTTCTTTTAATGGGAACTAAGCCTAAACTATTAGCTTTTTAGCACCAGTTTCCCTTGTGCAATTTTACTTTCCTCGAAAAAAGATGGTCATTGATAATAACAAATAATATTACATTATAACCAAATTTCTCTCCGCAAGTAATGTGTTGATGCTTGATTTTGACACCAACAACTCGCATGTGCAAAGTAATAAACGGACTTAAAAATCACACGTGATAAAGAGAAATGAAATGATGTAGTGAATAAGAAACGATATTTAAAGTGGTTTGGATGCTCAAAAGCGAATCCTACGCTCACTGCTATTGTATTAATAGATGGGTAAGATCAGATCACGTGCAGCGAGCTAAGTTATAATCTTGAGAGAATACAAAGAGAGAGAGAATGTGCAAGCTATTTTTTTACTAAGATTAGTCAATCTCGCAAATGAGAGGGGTATCCTTTATTTATAGTGGGAGAGTCCAAGGTAATGATTACAAGTCTGTAAGTGGGTAGGTGCCATGCAAATCCTTCTTTGCGTCCCATTGGTGGTCTGCACGAGAAATATCCTCAAATTACGCAGGGCTTGGGCAGGTGGCTAATTCCTAACGACTCACAAGCCTGGCACTCACCTACTACACTGACAAGAACCATGCCACTTGCGTTACTGCACGACGTGGCAGCGCTTGGACGACATAAAACCTTCCTGACCCTTGATTAGCTCTTATTGACGAGAGTCCACGTCAGCCTAACTTTTCAGGCATAACAGAAGTCCCCTAGTTTTTAAGGTTTAAGGATTGAACCTTGAGAACTTCATAATTATGCCACGACTTGACCTGTTCTGAATGATGCTTGGTTGAGCTGACCGAGCTGCAAGGAGGTCATAGCACATGCCTCTACGAGCGACCTGAGATGGTCTTCTTCCACAAAGTCGACGACCTGGATCAGACCCTACTCATTGCCGTACCGATGTGCTTCACATCCCATCTGCGGTCTGCGACCTGATAATACTGAGCATATCTTTACCAAAGACAAAGAATTGCATTGTCTCATAATCAATACGCGGCGAAGAGTGTTCTGTCCAAACGACCTTTTCAGATGTTATCCGTTGTGCTTGACAGCCAATCCGTTCAATAAAATAATCTTTATTCTGACAGATGTGTTTAGTGCGCCATAAGTGCCAGCTATGCTGATTAAATGCAAGCCATGCTGAAACGACATTCCCTTTCAAGGCATTAAATGCAGATGAGGGCACATTTAATGTGGAGGAGGTAATCGAGTCGTCGCTTGGTTATTCCAATGGAGGGAAGCGTCGATTGATGTTCTCAAAGCGTGGCAGTTACTCCTTCTCACAGATTGATGACACGTAGTCGTAATCAATGGCGAAAAATGTATTCCGCCCAAGCATCGCTTAACTTAGGGAAAATCAATCATCGCTTCCTCCCCCTATAAAACCCAAGGCTCGCCTCAAGCATTGTCACAAAACTCATATTTTCAGAGAAAGAACAAAGCTCTCACGAGTCCAGTCTCCTCATTTTCTAGTTGGTGCGCACCTTTTGTTTACAGCAGGAAGTCCGTTTCCGCAGCCAAGAGGTAAAGAGGATTTCTCCTTTACTTTTCTTTTATGCTTTGTAGATAGCTTGTCTTGACGATAATGGTGGGTGTGAACTGTTTGGTAAACCTTTGAGGTGCGTGTTTATAGGTAGTTGTGAGGAGAAGACTTTTTCTTTCATAAATAGTAAGTATTTAGGGCACGAATCCTTGGGGGTGGTCCCCAAGGGTTTTTTAAGGTTTTTCTAGGGTTTAAGGAAGGTACATTAGGGTTCTTTTGTTCTTCCACGTCGTCGTAGGAATACTATACGAAGACTGAATAATCTTTGCGTGTCTCCCCTTTTTGAGATCACAGGAGCAATGGATGCCTCAGCGACTAGAACAACCGAAGGGACAAGCTCGCAGGTACAGGACACCCCGACGGGTCCCGTGTAGGAGATCCTGTTAGTAGCCACTTGAGATGAAATACAAAAGGCAATGGACTAATATGCACTTAACGTGGACGTCTACCAGCATAGAACATATACAGCTCGAAACCCCACAGAGGGAATGACAGCGATCTCTGAGACGATTTTCAAATGCAGGGCGCTGATTCCTTTCCACCCCATTATTAGGTCGATCCTCGATCATTTTGATGTCGCACCACTGTAGCTAACACCTAATGCATATATGATAGCTATGACTATGTATATCTAAAGCTGGGCATTTGGAACCGGGCCCAAAAGCCCAGCTCTAAAACCCGGTCCTAGGACTGGTCCTTGAGAGGACCGGACCTAGGAGGCCTGGTCCCAAAACGGGACCAGGCCTAAGGAGGAGGGCCCTCCTCCAAGGCCCGGGCCTGGGACCGGTCCCATGCCTGGGCCCAAAAAATTTGTATTTTTTCAATGTAGTCCCCTGCCAAATTACATAAAACCCCCTGTTAATTTTAAATAGATATAAATTACGAGGGCTAAAATGAAATTTTATAAAATTTATAAAAAAAAAATCTTCCAGGTCTAAAAAATTTATAAAATTTATAAATTTTACCCCTAAAAAATACTAAAAACCCCCTATAAAATTTTGTTTTGCCCCCAAAATATAAAAAAATAGAAAGGGGAAAATGAAATTGTCCAAGGCCCATGGGACCAGGCCGAAGGCTTGGTTTTGGTCCTGGTTTTTCTCATGGGCCTGGGACCGGTCCCGGGCCCAGGCTTGGGCCCACAAGGGACCGGTCCCTTGCCCAGCTCTATGTATATCACATGTGGTGAGAATGGCCTTGGCCAATTGATTGCGCTGGAGCTTGCATGCTACTATTATCTGAAAAAGAGCAAGGACAAAGACTCTTTCTACCTCTCAAAGTGATCTACGATCGAGGGAGGCATATTTGGTTACCCTAATAATGTCGGGGCCTACGAAAGCAAATTTTTCTTTTTTCAATATGATGGCGTCTACCAATTTAGGGAACTGAGTAGGTTTTCCCCTCTTCTACTTTGCGAATTTTTTATTTTCCTTTAGTTTTTGCTTTCTGACGAACTTCTCTGTCCTTTTGCAAGAAACAAGACAACCAGGTTGTTGGCTTTAACTGATTTCAACTGAATAGTAGCATTCGGTAATCTTCCTGAGCAGAGTTACGACGCGAGACTGCCCGTGACAACCGCTAACCTAAGGAAGTATGGTTTCTTCAATTCTGAAGCGTCTCTAGAACCCTTCGTTTGTAAGTGTCCGTGTACTTTTAAAAGTTCTTTCTTTTGCATGTAGTGACCTTTTTCACTAAAAATACTTTCATGCAGCGACCATGTCACCCAAAGTCCCAAGACCGTTGACAAGGGCCAGAGGGGTTGTTTTTCCCTAGTCACCCCAACTGACCCAGCCGAGGCGATCCTTGGTGATCCCACTGTTAGAGGCACACAGGCGGGAGCGCGAACACCCACAGACTAACCAGGGGAAACTTTCTGGCCCGCAGTTGCTTGCGCCCTTAAGCAAAAAACCATGGGCCAAAAAACCAGGAAGAGGAAGCAGCTGCGAGCTGAGGAATCAGAGTCTGAGCCAGAGGGAACGAGGGTGCAGCTCGGGAGGTCGCAGCTTTACCAGGCCTCTCGCTCGGGGGTGACCTCGAAGCCCGTGCCTAGCATTACAATAGTCTCGGAGCGCTCGAGCAGGGGACAAGGGGAGGTCGCGGTCCCCCGAAGGAGAGCGGGCAAAGATCTAGTTGGCAAGGTGCCAACTCCTGTAGGGTCCGACACACCCGTGTTAGACTCCATGGGACAACTTCCGGAACATTTGCAGCCAATGGTGTACACCCTACTAGAGTGCCAACTTGCTACAGCTTTTGAAGAGTTTGTGGCCTCCCAACCTATAGACCTGATCACTACAGTGCTGCAGCTGCAAAGCCAAGTAAGGTAGCTCGTCCTCATCGAGGGTTTCCCAATATCGGTTATTTTTCATGTCCTTTATTTTTTTTACAACAATGGAGTTTAACCCTTGTTTTCTTTCCCATGCAGTCCCTGCTCGCTCTGTACTTGGCCCAACAGAATATCGACCTAGACTCTGCTAGGGGGCTCCACAAGCTGAGGGAAGAAAATGCAAAGCTGAAGTAGGACTTAGCGGCTGTGGATGCGGAGGCAAAGGTATATCACATCTGGGCAAACTAGTACCTGGTAGAAAGGAACTCTGCCCTTCGTATAGTAGAGTTCCAGAAGGCTGAGTTCGAGAAGTAAGGAGAAGAGATCAAAGAGCTCTAGAGGACAGTGGCCAAACTCACCAAAAAGTGTGGCAAGAAAGAGCAGGTGCTACAAGCAAACTCCAAACGGGCCAAGAAGGCAAAGGAAGAAAGAGCTCAGTTGTGGGAAAACACCAATAAGCAAAAAAGAGCACTAGAGGAGAATCTCAAATTCTCCTAGGGGCGAGTCACTTCATTAACTGATCAGATGAAGCAGCAAAGCCTGGAAATTAAGAGGAAGGTCGCCAATTGGGCAATCCAAGCCATTTATAGCCTGCGGCCAAGGAACCTGAGGATGGACCTTTCCGACCTATCAATCGAGTACCAGGACATTCTCACTTCCATGGCGGATGCTAATGATGACATGGGGGATGAGGAACAAGAGCCTCCTCCACGGGGTGATCAGGCCGAGGAATATGTCCTAGAGGACCTAACAATTGGTCGGATGGTCGGCGACCAATCGAGGGATACCGAGGTCGCACCCTCAGGGTTTAGAGGTGGACAGCAGTGATCGCTTTTTCCTGCTTCTGCACAACCTTGCCTTCAATCTTATTTCTGCATATCCTAATTTTATCTGTATTGATCTCTATTACATAAATAAAAGAAATATATTTCTAGCCATTTGTGATAGCACTTATAATTTTGCATACTCCACAAGATTAATGTTACGTATGCGAACAGAAAGCTTTGTAAAAACATCGCCACGAACAAGATCATACAAGATAATTTGCTTAAGAGCGATCTTATTTACAAAGTTTACAAGGAGATTAAAAATTAAGAGCGAGTTGGAAATTACTAATAATAGGGGTGAAAATGCTCAACATTCCAAGCTCGCGGTACTTTAGAACCGTTAAGTCTTTTGAGGTGATACGTTCCTGGCTGTATCACCTTGGCGATGCGGTATGGGCCTTCCCAGTTTGGTCCCAATACCCCCGTGCTTGGTTCCCTTATGCCGAGAAGGACTTCTTTCAGAACTAAGTTGCCGACCTGAAAGTCTCTTCTCCTGACCTTAGAATCAAAGAACCTTTTTGCGTGCTGCTAGTAGAATGCTATCCTTAACCGAGTCTTGCTGCGGTGTTCTTCAACTAAGTCTAGACTTGCACGTGGAAGTGCTTTATTGTCTATTTTATTGAATAGGTCTCTCTGAAGCGAATCAGTCCCTACTTCCACTAGGATCATAGCCTCACAGCTATACGCTAGTGAGAAGTGCATTTCTGAAGTAGAGGTTCTTGAAGTTATTCTATACGCCTATAGAACTTCTGGGAGGTCGTCGACTCAATTACTCTTGGCAGCGCCAAGCTTAGCCTTCAAAGTGTGCTTAATGGTCTTGTTGATAGCTTCAACCTGACCATTGGCTTGCGATCTTACGACTGAGACGAACTTTTTATGGATCCCCAACTCATCGCAAAAATGCTTGAATTCCTCATTGTCGAACTGTTTCCCATTATCAGAGATGAGCGTATGAGGAATTCCGTAGCGGCACACTATATTTTTGAAGACGAAGTCTTTGAGTTTCTTGGTAGTAATTGCGGCCAAAGGTTCAGCCTCGGCCCATTTGGTGAAGTAATCCACCGCGACCACATTGTACTTAACTCCTCCCTTTCCGGCTAGCATGAGCCCAATAAGATTGATTCTCCACATGGAGAATGACTAAGGGTTGGTCATGGTTATCAACTGGTGGAAAGGAGCTCGCAGTATATTCACGAACCGTTGACACTTGTCACACTTTCTTACAAAGTTGAAAGTGTCTTCTTGAAGTAGGGGCCAGTAGTATCCTTAGTGGATAATTTTGTTGGTGAGGGATCGCGCGGCAATGTGATTACCACAGATCTCTTCATGTATCTCCCTCATGATATAGTCTGCTTACTTATCGATTACACATCGGAGGAGAGGGCACTAAACCCTTGTTCGTACAATTGATCTCCTATAAGTGTGTAATAAGCAGCTCTAGTGCATAGGACTTTGGCCTTAATTTTGTCATTAGGCAAAGTCCCATCTCAGAGATACTGAATGATTGGAGTCATCCAGAAAATCGACTCTGTTGTAGCCATGGCCTGCTCAGGTAAGCTGATACTAGGAGTCTCTATATATTGAACATGAATACTTTTCAGCTCATTTGAGTGTAGTGACAAGGCTATTCTTGCCAAGGTATCTACGACAGAATTACTGTCCCTAGGAATCTGTCTGATCGTGAAGTGCTTGAAAGACTCGAGTGCGGTCTTAGCTTTCTTCAGATAACTGATCATGTTTTCTTCCTTGGCTTGATATTCTCCCAAGATCTGGTTGACAACCGGTTAGGAATCGCTGTGAATATTAATCACGCTTGACCCCATTTCCTTTACCAATCGCAGACCAGCGAGCAACGCTTCGTATTCAGCCTTGTTGTTTGTAGCTTGGAACTCGAATCAAAGAATTCCATGGATGTGAGTCCCTTCGTGACTAGGGAGGAGAAGGCCTGCCCAGCTCTTTTCATGTTTGAGGAGACATCGACATAAGGCTCTAGGTTGATAAGTTTTGAACAGTTTTCTGGGTGACTTTGTTGGCTTATTGCTCAGATTCCTGATTCGGTTGGCATGAGAACTCTGAAATGAAATCGGCAACAACCTGCCCTTTAATGGTTGCTTTTGGTCTATAATATAGATCAAACTGACTCAGTTCCATTGCCCATTTGAGTAACTTACCCGAAGCCTCTAGCTTCTGAAAGACTTGCTTGAGCAAATAGTTGGTCAAGACATGAATTGTGTAGGCATGGAAGTAGGGTCGCAGTTTTTTGGAGGCGATCAGCAAGGCATAAGCTAATCGCTCTATTTCTGAATACCGCATTTTGACGTCCAACAGTCGCTTGCTGGCATAGTATACCGGCCATTGGACTTTGCTTTCCTCCCGAATGAAAGTTGTACTGAATGCATA